TTCTAGTACAAAACTGACATCCTATTGAAATTGTGCAGGAACTGTCAGTGTGCTCAAAAATGTGGGGAGCTCAAGGGAAAGCAGCAGATAATGTATTTGTTTGAATTATGTTTCTAGTAGATTAGATGAATTGTCAGAATAACTAATTCTCTTAACATTTTTTTGCTTACTGTAAAGTTTACGTAAACATAACTGAAGCTACTGTATCTCCAATCTGTCAAGGTAGAACCACTTGTTCAGCAAAGCTTTTAATCCTGTATTGTTCTTCATTTGACATGAAGACCCTCCCTGTTGTTGTAGTGCTGTGCTCAGATTTAAAAAGCTTTGCCCCTTAATATCAAAAAGTTCTGTTTTCTTATGTCTGATACACTTAAATTTGGGAACAGCAGAGCAATTCTAGTTCAGGTTCTGGTTTTGATGATTCTGCTAAATAACATGTTGCTTTTTGTAGGCCGTAGTTTCAGAATGAGCTGTTGTTGGTTGGTTATTTCAGTTGTGGTGTTCCAAAATTGATCTGTTGTCTTTCAGTTTATCATCATTCTGTTGTTAAATTGATTGGATAAGGAAATAAAACTTATTTTAGAAGTGAAATGGGTTGTATGCAGAGGTTTATGCCAGTGTCCTGACTGTTGTCTGCTAGTAAGTGCCAGTCAGTTTAGAAATAAAAAATAAAGATTGTTAGTCTACTCATTGCATTTATCATCACTTCTAAGGCTTCAATCCAGGCACTGTGATTTTTTTCAGCAGTCAATTTCTTGACTTTTTTCTTGCATAGTTTAGTCAATTTGCTTTTCTTGCAAGCTGAAGTACAAATTGTCTGGTGGCTGGTTTCTAACTTGTGAAATTTTTCTAACTTATAAAGTCAAGGACTCCAGGAAAGTATGAAAACTATTCCTCCTGCTGATGAGTTCAATATTGTCCTCTTAAAAATAAACTTGTAATACCGTGTTAATATTTCAGTTTGGCAATTATTTTCCTGTGATGTCTAATGGATAAATTTTTCAGTAGTAGTCTGAAAATATTTCTGAACTAGGTCAATATTTGCCAATTTTGTATTCCATACTGAAACACATTCATAGTGTGTTTAAAGTAATTTGGAAATACTGTTACAGAAGGGTTGTCTGTTCTGCCGATGCTAAGGATAGGAGTGGGTCTTCATGTGTTTAACAAAAATTGTCATCCTGATTCACTTTGGGTGATTCTTTTGCACTGGAGGTGATTAATTATTCCTTTGAATTTCAGATGTTGTAGACAGTTTGTCATTCTTTTTCTCTCTCTTGAGCCTACTTTTTAGGGATAGTATTTTGTAGAAAAATGATGTTCTGCTGCCATTTATGTGGAACCAGAAAAGTTGTTGGTTACTTTTCTTAAAATCAGCACTGCGAGCTCATCTTGATTCCAGTGCAAGATGTTCTTGAGAAATCAGGTAATTTGCAAGTATGTGATATTATTTCAGTACAATTTAAGGCAGGACTATGCCATTTCACTTGTGATCCAAGAAAAATAAGAACCCAGGTCTCTGCTTGTATTTCACATTACGTGAAACATTGTTTGAGGGTGATGGGGTTGTCAACTGCAAGCATGGAAGCTCAAGTGTGAAAATGTTTCTTATGGGTCTAATAATAAACACCATGTTGCCTTAAACCAGAAGGACAAAAATCAAAACATACTATTTTGTTTGGAGAAAGATGTGTTTAAACAGGAAGATTCTGACTTATGCATAGTAAAGATGCTCCATTGCATCCATTGCATCATCATATTCCCACCATGCAATAGGGCTTTCTGTATCGAATTGGGCTGTAGAATAATTGTTAGCTAATGACTTAATTGTTGTTGTTAAAAAATCTTACACCTTATCTTGTGTCAGAACTCTTAAGCATAACTTACAGCTGTAGTTCTCAAATTCTTGAGGAAGAAAACCTGTTACCTCAACAGAGCAAAATAATTTGGATTTTACAAATTTGTCACTGTGTTGTCCAGTGATTGTTAGGATAGTGTGTGTGATGGACTCTGAGGCACTGTCATGACTAGCTCAGTGTGCTTACACATATGAACTCGGAAGCCAAGGCTTGTTACCATCTTTCTTCAAGACTCCTTGTAGAGAGAGCCCCAAAGGGTGCATGTATTTTACTTTAATATCAGGAATTAAAAGTTCCATGACAGACATTAATCACCTGTGTAGAATCAAGTTTAGAGTTAGTTCAAGTCTCATCCTTAAATGTTGGAGTCAATTCTATTAAAATCTGAGTGTCTCAAATCTTCCAGGTGTCTTTGATTTAAGAGTTTTAAGATAAAGCTGTTCAAAAGTCATGTTGTTATGTCCCAGTTCTGGCTTCCATCTCTGGTCTGGATCAGTCTTCCTAGAATAATACAGTGGATGACTGAACCCATTGTAGGAAACAGAATTGTATATGAAGTGAAAGTCTCCTGTTACTGTTGTTAAAAGAGAAGAGAAAATAATTCATCCTTTTACTTTTTCAGTTCATTTTACACTACAGTTTCAGCTGTTAGAAGGATGCTGACAGTGACTAACTAGGGAGAAAGAACCTCTTCCCCACTTCACAGAATCACAGAACGTTAGGGGTTGGAAGAGACCTCAAAAGATCTAGTGCAACGCCCCTGCCAGAGCAGGACCACCTAGAGTAGATCACACATGACTGCATCCAGGTGGGTTTTGAATGTCTTCAGAGAAGGAGACTCCACAACCTCTCTGGGCAGCCTGTTCCAGTGCTTTGTCACCTTCACAGTGAAAAAGTTTTTCCTTATGTTGATGTGGAACCTCCTGTGCTCCAGCTTGCACCCATTGCCCCTTGTCCTGTCATTGGCCATCGCCGAGAAGAGTCCAGCTCCATCCTCCTGACACTCGCCCTTTATGAATTTATAAACATTGAGGAGGTCACCCCTCAGTCTCCTCTTCTTCAGGCTAAAGAGACCCAGCTCCCTCAGCCTTTCATCATCAGGGAGATGTTCCACCCCCTTAATCATCTTTGTGGCTCTGGGCTGGACTCTTTCAAGCAGTTCCCTGTCCTTCTTGAACCGAGGGGCCCGGAACTGGACACAACATTCCAGATGGGGTCTCACCAGGGCAGAGGGGGAAGAGAACCTCTCTTGACCTACTGACCATACCCCTTCTAATCCACCCCAGGATGCCATTGGCCTACTTGGTCATGACCTATACTGGTACATGGGGTTGTTCTTTCCCAGATGCAAGACTCTGCACTTGTCCTTGTTGTATTTCATTAAATTTCTCCCTGCCCCCCTCTCCAGACTTCAAATGCTAGTTGAGTTGCATGTTAAAGTAGGGGCTAGAAATTGGGTTTTATTACCTCATAGTCTGTTTGGACTGGAAGCAGAGCATTTATGTTGGTAGTATCCAAATAATGATTTCAAACTAGTAAAAAAATCTAAGGTCTTCTGTTCAGTTGTAGGACCTCTATTAGCTTTTTTTGGCATTACATCAAAGTTCTGTTTTGATGTCTGAATATGTATGAGAACTTGCAGCCCTAAGCCACACTTCTTTCTTTTCCTCATTGGGAGGGATTTTGCTGCAGTTTGTGAGATCAAGAACCAGTAAACTCCATGGACAGAGGTGAAACATGTTTACTGTGCTAAGAGTTCGCTTGCATCTTTAGAGTCTGAAGATGCTTACTGTGCTTGCAGGGGACTAAATAGTCCTTTGTCTCCTAGTTACTGCTTCAATAACTGTAGATGATTGGCCTTGTTACAAATTAAGGATTATTCTTACCTGGACATGATTATTCAGGGAGGCAAGAGCTCTATGGCACTTTATCTTATTGCCAAAATGTACTCACCTGGTTTTTGTTTCATCACGAATTGGATAGTAAGGAGAGCTTTTGCTAGTTTACAAAGTTAGTTGAAAATTTAGTTCTCTGAGTAAACCCATATTTGTATAGGTATTGAAAATTACAAGCTACTCAGATGTTATCTAGATAGACCATTTCTTATGCTTACATTTGTAGCTTAAAGTAAGGGGGTAACTTTTCCCACAGGGAATGAGATAATTTTCCACAAGTTATCAGTGTGTTGGTAAGTTCCTCAAGGTAGAGGAGAAGGATGTAGGGCAGCCACAGGATTTCAAGTTAGGTCTTTGTACTAAACATAGTGCGTTAGACTTCACCAGCTAGTTCAAATCTGATAATTGGTCTTAGGCCTATTCTTCATTCAAAGTGCTGTTAGTGGTGTTTCACTGATGAAGATGCACAGAGGCCAATGAAGGTTGTTTCTTTGTTGGGTTACAAAGGATAAAATAAGAATACACTGATTGTTCCAAGCCCTCTTTGTGACCCCGTTTTCTTCCACCTCCCTTTCTACCTCTGTGTTCCCAGTCTGGTTTTGTAGTTTGAAAAGGAAGTGAAGGGTGACTATCTCTAATTTGAATGTCAAGTAGAGGTAGTTTTAATGATTGAGAATTGAGTTACTGGCTGGTGGCAGTCCACAAGTATGTGTGTGTAGATCTAGGTGTCCACAGTTACTAGTAAAGTAAACTTTCTCCAGTGTTCTCCAGCCTTGCCATCCTGTGTCCTAAAACATTGCATCACAGAGTGAATAACAGGATCAGTAAAGCTGGAATATTCTTGTCGGGGTTAATACTTGTAATACTTCTGAAGTACTCGAAAGGTATGACAGTTTGGTGCCACTGGCATCTCCATCACTGTCAAAGTACTACTCTGGAAGAGGTGCTGTGCTAAGTGGAGTACAAAATGAACCATCCTAAGACAAGTTGTTGCAAGAAGAAAAGGTGGAGTAAACATGTAAGGTTAGTGATAATATCAGTGTCTGAGAGGCAGAGAGTCGTTGTATCAAAAGTAAAACCTGAGCATGGCATGTCTGTAGGAGAGATGGGAAGGGCTTGTCTGAATGTTACTCTCTTACCCCTGTGCTGAGAGAGACCAGGTGGAGACAGACTGCTTTTCTGCATGTCTCATCCTAGTGTTTTAGAGTTGGGCCAGCTGCTGAAGAACCACCCCAGGGCAAAAAGCTTTGTCAAACTCATTGCCTTTATTCTCAGCAATTTTGGATAAAGTCAGTAGAAGCTCCAGGCCACATCAGGAGCTTCTGGAAGTGGAGGACAAATTTAGGAACAAAAGGAGTAATTAATAATGGCTTTTTATCCTAGTAAAGCTAACTTAAAACCAACCAACCAAACAAAAACCTTGATATTATTCTTATATTTTGATGAAGTCCAGAAATAATGTAATCTCTCAATTTTGCGTGTTTGGCTTACCTCCCCCCTGGAAAGCTCAGTTTATACTCTATGTAATGCAAGATTAAATGTGGTGTGCACAGTTCTGTCTATTGTATAGAAGAGCAAAGATAAACCTGTTCTAAGCATTTCTCTCATTAGTTATCTTAGGAAAAAGGTAATTATAGAATGAAAGAGTAATTGCATACTGCCACGTTATTAAATAGCAATTTTGTATACTAACAACATTACTGTCACTTAGATGTTAGCCCTCAGTCTGCCTCTCTCAGATTTTCCTTCACCCTGTTTACTGCAGATTGTGTATTAATAGTGTCATCAGTCTCCAAGAATCTGAAATTGTTGATATTAGTTGGCTTCATAAATAACTTACTTATATTTAAAGGGACTTCTTGTAGCAATATTTTTTAGTCAGCATCTTGTCAATAAATTCTTGGGGTTTTTTTGCTTCAATTTAGATCTTAGTGGCAGGATTAAAATTAGGACATTTAATATCATATTTCTTGTTTGTGGGTTGTGTGGAGGGCTTTCAGAAACTCAACAAGTAGTTGACCTGCCTTTTAAAAGGAAACCTTCTTCTACATATGAGGCAGAAATCCTTATCTAAGTATGACTTTATTTTAAATAATTCAGGAGAAAAACATTTAATTGTCTAAGAAGAGTAGGTTAAAGTAATCAGTTTAACAACTGCTGTTTAGATTGAAGGAGTTCAGGATTTCTTTTAGGAGTCAAGGAGTAGAATGGAGTCCTGGGATTCTTCTAGACTTGTTCTACATAGTTTGTTTTCTCTCTGATATGAGTTTCTTAAATTTTTGATTTGCAACTGCAATTTAACAGAGTTTTTGAGGGTTTTCTATGTAGAGTAGTAGGTGGCCAAATCTTTCTGTAGTTGCTTCATCATTATTTTAATATTAAGATATTGAACATCGGCAGTCCATCAGAAGTAGATTATAAGGCACTGTGTAAATCTCAGTTATTGTGTTCCAGGTAGTTAATACATAGCAGATGTCATCACTATGTGGAGGCCTTTTGTTTTTCTTGGCCTGTTCTTAAGCAACTGATTTTAGTCAGTCTAGAAATAATTTAGAAAAAGAATTTATCTGTGCCAAAAAGCCTGATTCTTAAGAGGAATTTCCAAGGCTTTGTTCTTTGGATGGCAAACTAAAACTTAAAAGAGGAAAAAGGTTTAATAATAAGAAAATTGCATGCTAATATCATATGGTATTTGTCCCTATGAATGTTGCTCATTTCAGTTAAGTAAAAATGCAGAGTATTAACTGATTCAAAAGCCTTTAAATGGGTAAAACCAAATTTACATTTTACATGTGTTGCAATAAGCTTGTTCCTTCCTTCTTTCTAATGCAGATTTAAGCTAAACTAATATAAAAATTTACAGGAGTGAGTTGTCAGGAGGTGAACTTCACCTTGATGCAATTTGGTTTTCATTTTCTTCACCATTCTACAAATGTATATCTCCCTGACAAGAGCATGTATTTCAGGATTATTTTTTTTTTTTGGACTGCTTTCCATATCCATAGTTCTTACTCAGTTTTCAAGGTTGTCTTTTGAAAAGGAAATGTTTTTTCTACTTTCAGGCTCATCTACTTCTAGTGATCCCATATGGTCTGGCCATTCACCACCACCCCATCAAGAAAATTGGGTCAGTTTTGCAGATACCCCACCAACCAGTGCTCTTTTAGCCATGCATCCTGCTTCTGTCCAGGTGTGACACTTTATTGGTATTTGATTTGCTTCATTCAGATTGATGTTGCAATCCCTTTTTTTCTTTTAAAATTTTCTTTGCAGATGTTTGCTGTGTATCTGTGCTGTAGTCTGTTCAATGCTGCTTACTCAACAGATACCTGTTTTGTTGAGTTGACTTCATTTGGAATGATTAACTGAAAGCTACTAATTTAAAAACTTTCAACAATTACAGCTTTAAAATATTTGTGTTTAGCTTTTTTGCATATGTGCCATACTTTTTTTCTGCTTACATACCTGCAGTCATTCCTATCCATATGTTTTAGTGTGCAAAAATACACTATCCTTGTTCTGTAGATTCAATCCAATCTGCTGATGTTTTCCTGCAGTTTTTAAACTACTATGAAATTTAACTATGCTTTATTTTTTGAAGGCAAGAAGTTGCGAATTCATAGAAGCGTTTTAGGTAGATAATACTGAGGAAAAATATTTCATTTCAGGACCAGACAACAGTACGAACTGTAGCATCAGCTACAACAACAAATGAAATCCGTAGGCAATCAAGTAGTTATGATGACCCCTGGAAAATAACTGATGAACAAAGGCAGTATTATGTTAATCAGTTTAAAACCATTCAACCTGATCTAAATGGATTTATACCAGGTAAGTTACTCTTTAAAAATATAACTGTAGGTGCAGCAGTTCTGTTACAAAGACTTTGTTGTGTACTTAGGTTTGCATACCATTTTGAAGAAAGCTCTGCATTTTACTGATAATGTTCTAGTAAACTCCAGTGTAATTCAAGAAAAGACTTGAAACTAATTTGCCATTTTCCTTCATTTAACCCTAGAAATTAGTGCCATTTTCCCAAAACCTTTGCTAAATAGCTCATCTCCTTCACCGTAACTCTTAAGTCTTCTCATGATTTAACTTGCTTTAAATATTAAAAATGATTGTTGTATTTTTTCAGGATCTGCAGCTAAAGAATTTTTCACTAAGTCAAAACTACCTATTCTTGAACTTTCTCATATTTGGTAAGTGTGATGTGTCTTTATTTGGGATAATTATTTAGAAAGGTGACAGCTATGTGGCAGTCATCTAATAATCTACTTACTCGAAGGTGTATTAAGTGAAATTTCACTAGTATTCTAGTGTGTTCAGTCCTACTTACGTTTATGCCAATATTACTTCAGTGGGCTTTAATTGGTCTAGGCTGGCCTTATTTACAAGGCATTTTGAGCTTTTGGATAAATTTCAAACGCCTCAGAGTTAGCAATGATTTATTTGAGGTTTTTATTGTTAAAGATGTATTTAAATGTAAATAAATAATTCCTTATCTGTATTTATTCAAGTCTTAAGTACATTTAAATGAAATTTACATTTACATTTTTAAATGCACTTAGTGGGACTTGATGACAAACTTAGCTTTGACGTGATGCAGAGATTTCATTGTATTCTGGAGTTTGTACTACAGCGGTGTGTGCTATCAGTAAATGGCTTACCTTGGCAGATTTGATCTGTCTTTCACTGTAATGTCTAATTCAGGTATTTTCCTCATTGCCTCAGCGCTACTGTTTCTGTAGTATACTTTGCCAAAAATCTAAGGCAAATAGTACAGTCTTAAATGAGTTCAAAACTTGGAGAGGTAAAAGTGGGTTTAAATGATCTTTAAGCTCTAAAAATGTTATTAATGAAGGCTCATCTCCTTTGATGAGTAAAGCATGTAGTGTTAATACAGTGTTTAATAGGGTAAAATGAATTATAAACTGCATCCTTTGATCTTCCAAGTAGCACAACAGAAGTATGTCTTTTGGAAATAAAATAACCTTAAGAAATTTTATTTATACTAAGTCTTCCTTTTTAGGGAACTGTCAGATTTTGATAAAGATGGTGCACTGACATTGGATGAGTTCTGTGCTGCATTTCATCTGGTAGTTGCTAGGAAGAATGGGTATGATTTGCCAGAAAAGTTACCTGAAAGTTTAATGCCCAAACTGATTGATTTGGAAGACTCGACGGGTAAGAAATGCTTCCACACAAATTTCACTATTTTCAAATGATGGTGTAGTTGTTACAGTATATCAGCAGACACAGGTTTGTATGAGCATAACACATTAGACAGTGTGAAGTAAAGCAAAGTACGATTTTTAGAAATCTTAATCAGTGCTCAGCGCTAATCTGAGTAGGTACGTATTTCTGTATAGGGAGGGGTTCTTTAGGAACAGTGCACACATTGACTATTTCATTTGGAAATACTGCCTGTGTCCTTTAAAGGTTAAGGAAAACAAAGTCATCACAGTATGGATTTTATTCATGATCAGCTATTGTATTCTAAATTCCCAATCCAGCTATAATTCAAAATTGCTTTCAAATGAATATGCTTTCTGCTCACTCTCATTTATGAAAATACAGCATGAGTTTAAGTCTTGAAGGTACTTAAACAGTATTTCTAGGTTCAATGCTAGATGTAGGACTGTGTAGTTTAGAAGTACAGGATCAGTAGCACAGATTTTTTTTGTTTCAGTTCTACTCCTGACTTGACAGTAGAATTTATCCTCCATTGCTTTGGCACCTAGTCTTTCACTGCATAGTCCTTTACCTTTGGTTGTTCCCAAATAAACCATGGAATGTATGAGTTCTGCTTGTTCATATGTGCCAAAAACTCAAACCCATAACTGAAAAGCAAACTACTGCTCCGTGTAAAAATGGTGTTTGAAAACAGGATGTTTGTGTCCATCTTTTTTTTTTTTAAATTTTAAAACAGATGAAGGAAACTGAATACTTTAAAACTGCTTTAGATTACTTTTTAACAAGCAGTATTTGCTTGGAAAGTCAGGTTATACTGTGCATGCACAGGTACTATGATTTCCTAGAATTTTATTTCTTTTTACTAAATACTTCAAAGGGGTCCTCTTCATACTGTGTTTGTAAGATGTCAGACACTTTCATCTGACAATTATTGATGAGTTCTTAAACTAGATACTGTGGCTCTTACTACTTCTGCTTTAATAATTAAACCATTTTTTGTGGGAGTAGCTTGGCTCCTCAAAGAACCTTTCCAACAGCAGTCAGCCAGAACTGTTTTCAGTATGAGTAAGCATTTTGCTATGATGAAGACATTAATAAGAAATATCTACAGTTAATTCAGTGAATACCTAGCAAGTGTCTAAAACCTACCCGTTCTGTCTATTTTTGTGTTAAGGTGATGGCCAAGCAAAAATCTTGATAGGAGATGAAGTAACTTTTTTTGTATAAACCATTATTTAAAAAGAAAAAAAAATTAAAAACTAGCTGTGTCTGTACCTGATCTTCAACTACCTTTATTGGTAGTACGTTTCAAGGCTTTTATTGTTTAACTGAAGTTGTCTGGAAACTATAAATTGGACATTAAACCAAAAAGTGTTACATGAATGTTTATTGTTCTTATTTTACAGGCAGCTTTGTTAATAGAAAACTTTGACTTATTTTCGTGAGGTATAAAGTGGTCTTTAAATGTGAGGAAAAACTACTTTCAGAAGTAGTAGGAAAAAAAATGGTTTTCCCTCTGGTATTAAAGGGAAGTTACCCTGATCTAGAGAATGTTAAAAGGTTACATGCTGTATAAGCTGTGCTTAAAAAAAAAAAGAAAATGAAGTCCTCATTAATACTTTATTCTGCTGTTAATAGCTATAATGAAAGTGACAGTTCTTACAAACTTGTTTGAATTTTATCCAATTAACTAGAGATTACTTTCTTTAAATTAGGGCCACCAGTATTGGAAACAACTTATCTAGTTATCTAGTACGTAACATGATTTACTCGCAAAACTTGTATGTGGAGTAAAGGACTTTAGGAGAAGTTATTGACGTGGCTATAGTTTTACTTGCAGTTACAACAGTCCAAATCTCTAGTACACATTTACTATTCTAATCAAAATTCAAAGTTACTCATAGGTCTATGTGCAGACTAATGTGCATGTTAAATTACATGGGTTCAACTTAAGGACTGTAAGTCAGCCTAGAAAGACCAACCAGTTAGATTTAATTTTTTTTCTTTAGTTCCCGTGCGAGCTGTATTTCAATAAAACTTGCTTCTACAGCTGTCTCGGAAATAGAAACTGTGCAATATGGCACCAGAGTGTCTTTGAGTGCACTTTTTTGTGGGATACAACTTTCCGAAAGAAAGAATTTGTTAGTGATCTTCTGCTGACTGAAGCCTCAGTGTGAAAAATGTACTTTGAAACTGTTCAAGAAGAACTACTTGAACATCTTTTTAAACCAATGTGCAAGATCGTAAACTTTATTTCAAAAGTGTTAACAATACAGTTACTAATTCTGTCCTTTTGTTAGAAACTTTCACCTTGATCTTCTACGCATCTGCTTTGTGCTCAAAACTTGTTGTCTTTTTCCATTTTGACTTTTGAACTAGTGGCCAGCAGAAGGAAAAGTAACAAAGGCTCCCTGCAGCCTGTGTCTCTGTTTGGACAGAGGGAGAGAAGAGCTCTTGTGGTCTGCTCTGGCAGACTTTCTCTCATTTAATATCTGACAGCTAATAACTTTCTGCTAACTAGAGAGAGAAATTCAGTGATTTAAGTTCTTAGAATAATGTGTTAATTCTAAAACATTTGAATGGTTTTAGTATTTTGAATTGGATTGTTTACCTCAAAGAATTGTTTGGACTGCAGCAGCTCCACTTAAGATTTAACGTTGTGTTGTGGTATTTGTAGATAGATACTGTCCGCTCTTCAGAATGAGCAAGATCTGTCTGCGTAAGAGCAGCCTGTAGAAGAAAACTGCAGTGAATGAGAGTGGGAGCATGAAGTCAGGCAGTTGTACAAGTACTTCTCTAAGTGCTTATACATTTACTTTATTAATTGAATACTGTTGATACCATCTGCATCTGTCTTGGCAGAATTTATGATCTGCAGCTGAAAAGACTACTAGACTCACTTCCTGTTATGTAAATAAATGTGAATATTTGCCTTTAAACTCAATTTTATCTCAGTTACTAAAAGCTACCAAACCTTTACAAAACTCAAAGCAAGTTGTGCTTTTCTGTTTTTTGTTTGGGCTTCTGCAACAGTACAATTTCTTTGTAAGAAAAAGAATCTTCCATGCTTGGTGTCTTACACAGCTTAGTTACTTTAACTCCTGAAGTTTTCCGTGTGTCTTGCATGTTTCATGTAGATATTTGCAAAAATTTTCAGCCTTATCTTTGACCTTGTATTTAACACTAGTGGTTAGTTCAGTTTTCTAGTGCACCACCATTGAAATTAGAATTTTGAGTGGGTTTTTTTAAACTCATTGGAAAATTTTTATTCGTATCACACTTTGGAGCAATTGATATGCAATATGCATTCCCAAAATATTACCACTGGCGTGTTTTGAACTTAGTGTATTATTTTGTGAACAATGACCCCAGTGTGTCATCTTGACATCATTGCACCTGTAAATACCAGCTTGATGTAGCCTGCTTTTTATTGCCAGATGCTTTTTGCCTGCAGCAGGTATTAGATTTGTAAAGCCATTTTACCTAAAGGACAGTAGTACAAGGTGCTGGGCACAATTTTGGGAACATTGAATCTCAACCTGATGTCTGGTTATTTACAGGAAGTTTACAAGACCTTTGAAATCTTGATGGTTACTGGTTTCTGTGTGGCTTTTTTCATGTCAGTAGTACCTCAGTCTCCCCTGTCCTTAAGATGGGTCAATTAATTTCTTTCTGGACTTCAGCCATTTGGCTGTTCTTTTTAGGCTATGCCTGTTGCTGTCCCCAGCAGCACTTTGGAGACAATAATGGGTTGTTCTTGGTTCTCAAAGGTGTAGCTGGTCACCACTGACTATTCAAATGTTTCCAGTTCAGTTTGACGTAGATTTGTTACAAGTTTCTTCTCAGTGGAAGACAGCAGACAGAATATTGAGCTGTTATAGCCGAAGAGCAGACTGCAGAGTTCAGCTTTTCAGGAGCCTGAAACCAGCCCTTTTGAGAAATTTTAATCAATTTTTGGTACAGCTAATCACAAGTTCTTGGGGCAGTCGTCTTTGATCACATGTCTGACAAGCAGTCCTTTTAAATGGTAATTTAATTAAGTCATCTTCCTCTTGTGCAGTATTTTGTCTTGTTCAAAGTTTCAGTTCTTTGAACTGCAAACATCTTGTTAGTAATGTCTAGCTACTTCTTAGTCACTCCAACTGTTCCTGTTATGTTATACAGTTGTAATCTGAACTTCTTTTTTGGGGGCTTTCAATGCATTGCTTTAGCTTGTGTTGTGGAATCTAGAAAAATGGAAGACACTGTAAGCAGGACTTTACTGCATTAGGCAGAAGGCTTAATCAGCTGTTCAGATTTACTTTACCGAATTGTCTTATAGTTTGAACAGAACAAAAATAAGTGTGTTGCACCATGAAAATCTGTACAACTGAAGGAGGAGTGTTTCTGCAAGGGGCTGTACTTGCTGGAAGCTCAGAGAAGACTGAAAGAGTAACAATGTACAGTTGCAATGTGACGGCTGCTAGACTGTTCAGTTTGCAAAATGTAGTGAATGGAAACACCGTTGTATTAGTAAGGAGGTTTAAAATATTCTTTGGGGAATAATCTAAGGGAATAGTTTTATTCATCTCTGTTTTTTCATATTTTTGGGTTGTGCTTTCATTGATACACTGGTTTTGCTTTAACCTTTCACATAAGGAAGTATTTTATTCTGTAGGATAAACTTCTCAGTGCTGGATTTGATGTAATAAACATTAGTGTGAAGTTGTTTTCTCATAATGTGAAATGGAATTCTATTTACTTCTACATGTAATCAAAATTAAAAATGCTGTTTAAAAGCCAAAGTACAGGGAGATTGTACGGTGCAGAGTAATCTTCAAGTCCATTTTTCAGAAAGATCCGCAAAATAAGAGTAGCACCTGATAAATAGTATATGTGACTTGAATCAGTGTGTTTTGTCTGCTGCTAAGTATTCCCTTTGGTTTCATCTTTTCAAAGTATACTTTGCATTTCCCATGAGATGTTTGCAGCTCTTCTGAGGCTAAACTGAATGCAATTCATGATTTTGGTTTATAGTGATTCCTGTCATTTCAGAAGTTGGGGAACAGACTGGTGAGGTAGGTTACTCCAGCTCTCCAGCAGAAGCACCTCCAAGCAAGTCTCCATCAATGCCATCCCTAAACCAGACCTGGCCAGAATTGAATCAGAGCAGTGAGGTTAGCACTTTTAATTTAAGAGTTATTTCATTACTAGTGAATAACTGAATTGTATATGCATCCATAATTCATCATAAGTGGATTGTTGATCACAAATTGTGAAAAAGTTATCAGGACAATAGACACAGGAAAATTCTGTGCATGTTAAATTGTAAAAAAGGTAATATCTTCCTTCTCATTTTTCTGTCGATTGTGAGGCAAGCTGCTATTTATAATGTTGTTGTTACTAGTAATTAAGCTTTGTATTAATCACAAAATTATAGCAGTTTTTGGAAAGGTTGAATTTGTTTGGGGTTTTTTCATTTGGGGCAGGCTTTTGGTTGGGTTTTTAGTTAACCTCTGAAGGGCTTTTATAGCCAACGCCTGCAAAACTTAAAAATGAATTTCTGACAGATCTGGACATTGAGACTTATTTCTGGAGGTGATTTTACCCTGAAATATAAAATGCCTCGCCAGTAATGTAATATATAAAATCATAGCTCTGGGTTTGTTTCAGAAGCAAAGACTCAGAGTTGAATCTGAAGCCAACCATTGGCTAAATTAATTTAAATTTTAAATTTTTACTGTTATGTACTGCTGCTTTATCATTCTTTACCATATATATTTGCTGTATAAGCAGTCTTACATATATGTGTTTTGTCAGAGTTTGAAACTGAATTTACTAGACAGGATGCTTTATATTTTTTTTCACAAATGTCCATTGTTCAAAAAGCCTGTTGTAAGGGATTGATTCCTAAAGTTTTTCTTGTTTTAACATTTTTGCCTTTTGACTTAGAATAAACCTATGTTTTATTCTAAGAGCTACTTCAGAAACTCAAATGAATTCCTGACTGTGACCATACTACAAAGGTGATGTAGGCTTATTTTTCATTAAAAGGCAGGAAAAAAAGGGAAAAAAATTGAAATTATTTTTTGAAAACTTTTTAATAACCTGGGACTCTCAAGAAGTATTTGTAACTTCTTTTGACATCTAAGATAGTTGCATCAGTAGCTGAGTGTCATCTTTTATTAAAAGAGTGTATTGTGGCTTTCTTCTTTCTTCATTAGACTTCAACTGAGTAGAAGATTGGTAGTAAAAGATTTAGACAAACCAAAGGAGAATCAATGTGAAACAGAAGATAAGCAAATTTTTAGGACTAAAGCTAGGAGCAGAGGAAACTTTCTTCCTCTCTCAGGAGGAAGGACTTTGTAAAGTCTGCTCTTCCTCTTAAGGGCAAATGCTAGCCTCGCAGGGATGTCCTTGCCAAATAAAAAATGCGGGAAATGATTTAGTGATTCTTAGTTGGTCTGTTGGACAGAGTGACTCTTGGAGTGCTGGTAGGCATCTGTGTTTTAGGAGGGAGGTGAGCAGATGTTCGGTTATTGCTAGAAAGCAGTAGATGCCTGCAACTGTATTAAAATTTGCATTGATACATTTCCTTATGTTTGCAATAAAGATTTAATAAGCTAATCATTTGGTAAGCTGCATCATAATTGAACAGACTCCTTCAGTGTCCAATGCAACTCAAACCAGTTGAATAGGGTAATTGCAGTAGTGAAACAAAGTTAATGACAGTTCTCTGTCACACAAAACTGACTTTGTCCATTCAGATAGATAATGTGGTGTTTTCTTTCTGAAAATGTACTAAAACTTTTAAGAGGTTTGGAGAAGTTCTTGCACTAAATATACTACCAGATACTAACTATACTAAAATAAGCGTTGAATGTTTATTAAATATTAGGAGGTTTTTGTTCTAACACAGAGGAATTACTGATTTTTCAGCTATGTTGCTGTGCATGCTTCTTGCTCCTCACCGTTTTCTTTTCAGCATGAGTCGGGTCAAAGTCCTCAAGGTTTTAATGCCATGAAAAAATTTCTGGTATTGCTGTAGGCACCAGTCTAATGTTTCCTCTTTGAACCTCTTACAACTGTCATAAACAAATTAATTGCTTGAAAAAGCTATGCATATTTGGATCATCTGCCTTTCCAGGCATTTTTATCCCCGTTAGTTTCAAAACTGTTGCTTACTCTATTCTACTTCATAAGTTGATTTTTAGACTGCAGTTGCCAGGCTCAGTTACTGTAAGCTCACCAATATGGACCAAGGCATCAATGTCAAACTTCAGAATAAAGACCACTGTGAAAATCCACCTAACTCTGGATACTACATGCTTCACATTCTCATCTCTTCATTCATCACTTCTTTCTCACTTCAGACATCTTTTCCATCCAGTCTCAAGGCTGAGCACTTAAATCCAAGAGCTTAAAAAAATTTGAAAATCCTACTAAGTTTTTGTTGAAAACAGTCTAGTGTCATATTAGCTTTGACACAGATATGGAGATTTGCTTTTGAGTTCACAATGGTTACACCTTGTTTCAAATGTCTTGTTCTTTTAGTAACAGTTCAGGTTGCTGTGAGTTTTAGTTTCTAGTAATTAACCTTTTGGAAGTATTTTTGAAATATTTTTGCAAGTCTAGAAGACTAATATTTTACTTTCAGCTAGTAGGAGTTTTATTTTAGCAAATCAGTTTTATTGTCAATGCTCTTCAACCTTACACAGAGTTTGAGATTCAGGCTGGTAGATCCTTAATATATGTAGCTTTCTGTTAACCAGGGAATTAGGAGTAAATAGATTCTGGCAGAATTTCAGGATGGAGCACAACAGCCTATTTCCCAGAGCAGTCAGGAGGTGGTGGAGTGGTGTTCATTGGTCTGTGCCCAGCTAGGGAGCCTGAGGACAAGTAATAAGTGTCCTGTGGTTTGGCTTCAGAGGAATAGAATAAGAGGTAGATTCAGCATCCATCTCTAAGAAATGGTATTTTAGTGTTGATCTTAACTAGAACGTAGATGCTGTATGCCTTTATGGAAAATTGAAAAATTAAGAAACATTGTCTGTGTAATCAAATGGTCTGTTTGCCAATCTCACAAGTAACTTTGAAGCTGCTGGCCAAATCAAGTTTAAAAGGGTAGTGGTAGTCCTAAAATAAACATTAATGCATGTTTCATGAAAATGAGCAGCTGTGTAAAGGCAAGAGGACAAATCGGGGGAAAGGCTGGCAGAACTTGGCTATTGAGTTTCTGACTTAGTAAAAACTGGCTTACTCAACAGATTTGTGTAGCTTGAAACTACTTGCAGTGCTGCCTCTTCATGAAGGGGTGGAGTGACACAGAGGTGAACTGTTTAGTAGGGAGTGGGACAGAGCTATTAGGAAGGGAAACCTTACATCCTTACTAAAAATGTTTTACTAGATTCTGTCCATGAAAGGCGTAGTCTTGTGACGAACACCCACCAAAAAAACCAAACCAAAAACCACCACCAAAAAAAAAACCCCACTTCACACCCGTATGAACAGTATTCCATAATCTTTACCTTAATTTAGAGTTTGAAATGAGGAGATAAGGCTCTGTCTCTATAAAGAGCAGCACTATACCTGAAATTACACTTGCAAATTTAGTTAATCTTTTTCTGAATTTAATTTCAACTGATTGAAAACAGTTATTTAGAAATTTTCATAAGTTATTTCTGAAATAACTGGTTTAGACTAGGTTCACGTACAGGCCATTCACCAAATTTAGTTCAGTGTAGAGGAGCACGTGAGATTAGATTGACTAACACCATATAGCTTGTCCTGTATCTTCTGGAGTCAGTTACGTTGATTTGCCTATAGAGATGGGAGAAGAGTATTGATTTGTTTTCACAACTATACTAACATCATTTTTGTTAAATTTTGAGCACTAAAAATTTTGTATTTGTAATTTTTGTAGTAATGTTTGAAACTTGGATAATATTTACTTGTTATTTTGTCAAAATATAACAAGTTTAGCATTCCTATTGTGATTTGTAATCTGGTTTCTGGATCGCAGATGATTTTATGTACTTTGGTACTTCGTTGATCCAGTTGTGGCTGTAGCTTGACTTACTAAGCATGAGGACTCTTGACAACCATGTATTGATACAGCATGCCTATATCTTATAAAATTGTTCAGAGATTGACTTATTTGCTTTTAGCAATCAACAGTATGTTTGAAATTAATTCTTGTAAAAATGCTCTTTTACAGCATAGAATCACTTCTCAGGGGTTGCACTGGCAAGTTGAACTGTTGTAATTGGAGTACTCTGCTCAGTGTTTGTTTGGGATTTTGTAAGGAAATCAGCGTTTACAAAGTACGCTTGAAACTTGGCAGCTGCCAAGCTGAGGAACCTTTCTGTGGATTTTATAATTGCAAATACAACACGTGTCACTGATTTTATCTTTACGGTATTTGAATGGCTTAACTAGTCTTTTGACTTGTATGATTTTCATTGGCAAACATGAACTCTGAAGGTACATGTGTTGGCCATGTACCTGTGTCTTCATTATGAAATGTGAATGTAAAGATTAATATTGGCAGAAAACAAACTTGGTTGCGCAACAACCTCAGACTGAAATATAAATAATGAATGTGGATTAGTGTGCTGTCCAAGTCAAGTACTGTCCAGTGCAAATACAGTACTTTCCAGTGCAACCTCTGAACTACTGTGCTAAATCTCCTCAGTGATCTTTTACTCCCATCTTTCTCATCATGCTGACTTCTCTCCTCTGTCTATTCAGCAGTGGGAGACATTTAGCGAACGCTCTTCAAGCTCACAAACTCTGACCCAATTTGATTCTAACATTGCACCAGCTGATCCTGTAAGTCAATCACTTAGCTTGCTTGTTTGAAATTAATTTTATTAACACCGAGTTTCCATTTGTTGTATTTAGCTGTTATGCATGATTCCATGGACTGCTTTTTGGGGAATGGTGGCAGGCTTCTTAATTTTTTTTTGTTTATTTTAGGAATACAAATTTTCTAGTACTGCTCGTGTTTAGTATCTGAGTGCAAAGAATGCTTTTTTCCCCCCTTGATTTTGATGTAATACAAAACAGCTATCAAAACCTGTATTACACAAAGATTTAAATAAAATGGTTTTTTTGAAAATATTTGTAAGTCAATGCAAGGGCCACTCCCAGTGATAAACCAGTCCTGGTTTAGATTTTTGTCTTCAGTATTTTTTTTTCAAGTTGCAGAGCTTGATTTGCACAAACCCTTAGGAGCTGACAATGCCAAAAAACTAATGGGCTTTAATGGGTGTGGTATTTCATATTCCTAATGTTTTCACCAAGTTACTTATTAATAAGGCTTTTAGTATTTCTCACACTAAACCTGTGCTGTTCTAATGCTTTACTCAGTGGGGAGTGCACTGAAAGGTTAGGTAGTTAAATACCTTGCCAAGTTTAGGAGCCAGAAATTTACTACAGTGATTCAAATTCTGCTAGTTTTAAACTTCACAGCTTGTGACATTGAAGCGGTTCTGAAATGCATTAAAATTACTTTGATACTTAGCTGCTGCTTTTGTCCTGCTTTTCTTACCACTTTCTTAACAATTACCACTGTTAGTGTCCATTTTGATTTAATTACAGTGGTAATGTCCATTTGATTATATAACAAAATATGGTAGGTGTACATAATAAACATTTAACTCTTAGTATTAAACAGGTCACTTCTGAAAAGATACAATACACATTTAAAATATGCATATATTTTAAATATATCAGTGCTTCACTCACTCAGTTAACACTGATATTTATGTGGAAATAGCATTTCTCAATGCTGGAAGCTAGAATTCAAACTGCATTGTTCCCTGTGCTCGGAATTGCCCTTAGTAAACATTGAAAACAGATTAAAATGTTAAAGTGAAAACCGGCCCTTTTTCATCTGAGACAGTTTTTTGGTTTAAATGTATTGTATTTTTATGTTTTAATGAAGTAAACCTGATGGAAATCGGTTTATAGTTGTTTCTTACTGTGTATAGTTGCTTGACAGTAAAGAGCTGTCACTGTCTTGTTTCCACAATAAGATAGTAATTTATTTTTACACGTAATTAGTGAATGACAGGAAACTGAAGTTTGAAATTTTTCCCTATACATTGATAATCTAAAAAGTAGAACAGGGATGATATATGGAAAACTCATATATAGTCATATATGTTTGTGTGTGTGTATACATGTGTATAAACAGAAGTTCAACAGAAAACCAAAAAAAATACTGGGAGATCACATTCTTGAGTCATTTTTTTACAGTTCTTTCTTGTAGCTGAGAAATTTTAACTAATGGTGAACGTCTTTGATACTTGCTAAGGTAGCAGACTTTGGGAATAGGTACTTTAAAGTCTTTGTCTTTATATGAAAATAAGAACAAATGACAGCAAATTTTCAGTAGCAGTGTGCAGACTTATTTTAGTAGTCTCAACAGTGGTGCGTAGGACTGATTTATTGAACAATTCCTGCTTTCCCAAAGGAGAGAATCAGCTTTCTTGAGCAGTTGTTAATGACTAACTAAATTCACAGACCAGTTCTTTGCTCTTTTTGTTGGACAAGCAGCTGCTTTGGAGGTAAAAGATAAGTGGAAAGAGTAAACCAGTACATTCATTCCCCAGTATGGGAACATAATTTGCCTGTCATAAGTGAGAGCTAGTAACATGTTAAGTGGTTTTCTGTAAAATTAGATCCATGATCTGAATTATTACATTATATAAAAAAACATTTTTGTAGAGGCTGCACATTAGATTACAGCAGAGCACTGCAGTAGCTACAGCGAAAGTGAGCTTTGCATGATAATCCCATTAAAGGGGGAAAAAAAGGCAGTGTATTCTAAAGTGGTAACTATTCCTAAAACCCTGGTGCAACAAGAGTGTTTGAGTTGTGACTAGTAAGTGGTTTTAAAAGTTTATATTTGCAACAAGAGTAGTGCAAGTCAGTTTAGACAGTTTTAGAAAACATTAATGTAAATGTATTGTGTGATGAAATTGATCAGAACAGATTAAATTTCTGATACAAGAGTAGTTTTGAAATGTCTTGTTATTTCTAGGAACGGAATATAATCTGGGATTTTTTTTGTGCTGTCATTGTCCCACCCATTCATATAGTCTGGATATAGATGACAGTAAAAAAAAAACCCTCAGACAGCTATGTCCATATTTTTAAGTTACTTGTGAACAAACATAGAAGTTTTAAGATTTTTTTTTAAGCTAACTACGCTCCTTCCCCAAACCAAATGGAAAGGGCTGTTATAAAGTACATTAAATGGAGTCCCTTGTCTGAACTACAAAGAAAATGCTTAAGTGCAAGGTCAACACCTATCTAGAGATATATTCAACGGGGTTTATCCTCCTAAAGATTAGAAGATTTCTGCTCTTTTAAAGACTCCTGAAACTACTGGTCTTAAACTACTACAAAGTACCTATTTTATAGAGAATTACTCATACTATTTAAAGAGGCCACAACTTTCTGAGGCATCATAAGTAAAGCCAAGGAGTGGGGTTTTGAAATTGTGACTTCTGTGGTTTTTTGTTTTCTGTTTGGGTTTTTTTTTGAAGGTGCACTTGAAGTAACAGATATCTGGTATGCCAAAAATGGTGGAAAGCTGGTAAAATTTAGGTCCTATTTACAACAGTTATCTACAGAAATCTTTGTAGTACTCTTTTAAATAAGTATACTAGGTTAAACCTTAAATCGTTAGAGAAACTTCAGCTTACGGAGCTTTAGTTTTACAGGTATATTCAATTCCCTGAACTATGTAAAAATAAATAAATAAATAAATTTATGAAATTTTGTTTAGAAATTACATTTTGCATGGTGTCAGACTCATAATACAAAATTTAAAACTAGATTAATATTGCTTAACTCTGATCTCCTCTACAGGACACTGCAATTGTGCACCCAGTTCCCATAAGAATGACTCCAAGCAAAATCCACATGCAGGAAATGGAGCTTAAAAGAACTGGAAGCGGTAGGATATCTTCTCTTGCTAATGAGGAAAGTTTTGTACAATTAGAGTGGGCTTTGCTTTCTTAAACATGCTGACTTTTTTTCTTCTCCTTAGAGAAGTGTAACCAGCCTAATTAATGAGATTCTCTGAGTTAAGAATTAGACTGCTGTTCAGATAGGTGCACAGTTTGAATTAGCCATTTACTACAGTGAGGATTTCACCATCTATGGGAGATCATTGCTTGGAGTAGTTCAGGAGGATCATGATATAGATTTGATTTGGGCCTCTGGGAGAATGTCTAGATTTCCTTATTAAATACTGAAGGGGACTGTGAAGATGGAGAGAATAGCCTGCATTGATAAAGCTTGTTCTGCTGTGGTCAGAAATACCGAGTTTATTATTTTGAAACCTGCCAGCATTCGAGAGTATTAGCAGGCCTTCTTTTTTTTTTTTTTTAAATACTCTGGTCAATAATAGGCAAGGTGGTTTGATTTTCCTTGAACAGTGGAGTCTCAATAGGCCAGTGTTTCCTAAAGTCACGTAATTCATGCGCAGTCTTCAGCATATGAGAATAAACAAGTATCCACAGCACATTTATTTTAAAAATCCCTTAGCCTTGTAAATAGGTAAATATTCCCAGTTCTTAACACTGAGAAATATAAATAACACTGTTGTAATGTAAAACTTCAAAGTTAAAATAATTCATACACCAAAACTGTTAAAATACAACAATTTCAGGCTTGAGTGCGGCACTTCAGATAAGGGCAGAAAACTAACGTAAAGCTTTGGCATCAGAAGTAAAGCCTAGTTTGAATACATTTGTTTATTTAGACTTCTTTTTCCATCTAGATCACGCTAACCCTACTAGCCCACTACTTGTGAAACCACCTGATCTCCCAGAAGAAAACAAAATTAGTTCATCTGTAAAATTTACAGCTGGAAATACAGTTAGTAAGTATCAAAGTACTTTCTGATCTTATTTTGTACGTTACATAAAATGTAGATCTGATATATTCTTCATTCAATGAAAACTTGCTAGATAAAAGAAGTTCTAAAATGAGGAAAAACTCGTCCTAAGAATAGAAACAGTTCTGATACAAAGTGTATGTTAGAAGTAGTAATTAAGAAAGTTCTGCTGATGTCACTGGAGATATTTTCCTACCATATGTGTTCAAAAAAGTTCGGTTTTGTCAGCTCTTTTCCATCTTCCTGTTTTCTCTTTTAATCTTAGGGTGAGAAATTTAAATGTATGGAAAGTGGAATTGACTAAGTAGCATTTGATTCTACTTGCTCAGTACCATGTAACAACATGTTTTTTGAACACTGAAAGCCTGTTGACGACAATTTTCAGGCAATTCTCATCTGGTTTAGCTACTAAGGAAATGCTATAGACTTCTAGATTTCTTTTTTAGGTACAACTTTATTTGCCTCTCATAGCCTTTTTTATTTCCTGTATCTCCTGTGTCCAAAACATTTTGCATTACTTTGATTTGATTAGTCCACTTGTCTAATACCAAGAAATGTCCTGGGTTATATGTAGCCTGAATGAATCTCCGGAGTCCATTTATGAGACTTTTTTGTTTTCTTTAAGCTGGGAACTTCTCCTCCATAGAGATAAGGTTCGAAGAACTCATTTGAGTCCTTTGCATTATTAATACAGAAGTATTTTGGTTGGTTTGTAATACAGGAGTAATTTAGAAAGTGCCTCTCTGCAATGTGTTTTGCTTTCCCCATGAACTCTGTTTCCGTGGCACTCTTCATTCTGAGCAATATCTCGAGCCTGCCTGTCTCTTTCTATTCAAGCACAGTTCTGTTTTCACTAGGTAGTCTTCTGATGCAGGATTTTTTTTTTTGTGCAGACTTGCTGTCTTAGTAATTACTATTTCTTAATGTTCTTCAGTGCCATACTTTTAATAGTGTATCTGAGCATCTTCTAAACCAGTGACGATGTCTACAGTGTGCTTCCTTGAGCTGTGGGGCTGGACTCGTTTTCCAGTGTTTGCCTTAGTTGCTTGGTTTTGTTTAGCTGTGTCAGAATTAATTTGAGAACAGGGAGTTTCAATCTTAATCTAAGCAAGTCCTTTTTTAAGTGGGTCCTCCTAGACTGTTTTGTTTATAAGTTCAGATGCGCTTTTTCTGCTTATACAGAAGAGTATGGATTGCTTAGTGGTTTATTGATCAAAATTTAGATTCAGGTTAATTATTTTACTTATAGTCTACTGTTCATGGATCAATATGTTAAAATAGTATTTGGACTGACAACAAATTGGGATTTATAAGCATCATCTTGATGTTGAGAAATTGGGATTTTTGTCTTCATTTTACCTGCTTTATATCAATACTAATTCAGCTTTGAAGTTACAAATTTGTAAACAGCAGCTCAGACCTAAGACAGGAAGCAGGAACAGTCTTTTCCATTGCGTGAAACAGAAGTCAGTAGGCCTAGGCACTGCACGATTGTCTTTCTGTGCAAGCTGTGTGATTTGGAACAAAGGAGAGAGGATCTGTAACCTCAGACAGTGATAACTGGAGAAGTTAATAATTCTTGTGAATGCTGGACACACAGTGTTGAAACTGTTGTTATGCAAGTAAAAATGAAAGCAGCGAATATAACTGCTGTTTTCCCAAAGTTAATTCTTGTGAATGCTGGACACACAGAGTGTTGAAACTGTTATTATGCAAGTAAAAATAAAAGCAGCGAATATAACTGCTGTTTTCCCAAATTGTCCACACTGTCCCTGTCTGCCGAAAAACGAGTCATCGGGGAAGATGACCAGCCTGGCTGAATAAGGACCTTTGGGATGACCTTAGAAAAAAAGGAGAATTTATGACCTTTGGAAGAGGGGGCAGGTCTCTCATGAGGACTATACAGAAGCAGTGAGGCTATGCAGGGAGAAAATTAGGAGAACCAAAGCCCAGTTAGAACTAGCTACAGCTGTTAAGGACAATTAAAAATGTTTCTATAAATACATCAGCAACAAAAGGAGGGCTGAGGAGAATCTTCCTCCTTTACTAGGCAGTGACAAGGGATGAGGAAAAGACTGAGGTGCTCAGTACCTTCTTTGTCTCAGTCTTTAGTAGTAGAACTACTTGTTCCCTAAACACCCAGCCTGTTGAGCTGGAAGACAGGGAGGGGGGCAGAATGTGGCCTTCACAATTAATGAGGAAGTGGTCAGTGACTACACCACTTAGATGCACACAAGTCTATGGGGCCAGATGGGCTACATCCAAGAGTACTGAAAGAGTTGGCGAGTGTGCTCACCAAGCTTCTTTCCATTATCTACCAGAAGTCCTGGATAACTGGGGAGGTCCCAGTGGACTGGAGAATAGCAAGTGTGACTCTCATCTACAAGAAAGGCCGAAAGGAGGATTCAGGAAATGACAGTCAGTCTCTGAGCCAGGGAAGGTCATGGAGCAGATCATCTTGAGTGCTGTCATGAGTCATTTACAGAACAACCAGGTGATCAGGACCAGTCAGCATGGGTTTATGAAAGGCAGGTCCTGCTTAATGAACATGATCTCCTTCTATGACAATGTGACCCACCTGATGGATGGGGGAAGGGCTGTGGATATTGTTTACCTTGACCTCTGTAAAGCCTTCGACACCCTTTCCCACAGAATTCTAGAGAAGAAACTGGCTGCTCACGGCTTGGATGAGCATACACTCTGCTGGCTAAGGCACTGGCTAGACAGCCAGGCCCAGAGAGTGCTCTGGGAATGGAATTAAATCCAGGTGGCGGCTGGTCACAAGTGGTGTTCTGTAGGGGTCGATACCAAGGCCACTTCTGTTTAACATATTTATCAAT